CGATGATTTTCCCCCCTTAAAAAAAAAAAAAAAAAAAGAGTAAAGAAAATGTGATTCTTTGTCTCTATATATTGTTGGCATGTCGTTTGCATCGTTAGAGGGATTATATAGGCCAGTTTTTTTTCTTTGACAACGTAAGTGAAGCTGCAGGGAAAGTTAAAACCCAATATAATAGAAATCCATAAAATTTATAATATTACACTTTTAATTAGAAGATTACGTTTCAAAAGAAAACGTTACCTTCTTTTCAGCATTAATTTTCTTCTTCAATATTTTGTTCGACACATTTGGACTCGTAACTACAATTTTCTGACTCTTAAATGCTACTGTATAATGTAACTCCCACTTATTTATGTTATGAGTCCCATGTAATAGGGAGTGTTCACCCCCACTCGTCACATACCGGGCACAATTCGAGACTCCGTGCTACAACTGAGATTTCTTTTTAAACTGTCAAAAACCGCGAGGACACCGGTGACCGCAACCTATTGTTCTTTAATTGTGTCTATAATGACGGTACTCAAAGGTGGTACTTTGCCCCACCTGGGAATCGAACGCGAGACCCCTTGCCTGGTAGTCGCATTTGCAACCACTCTCCCAACGAGGCAGTTATTGTTGTTATCTTCACATTAAATGTATAAAAATCACGTGAACGTACAATGTCATAAAATACATTGTTGTCACAATATTTAACGGTGACCCCGAGATCGTGCTTCACTGCAGCTCTTGGTAAATGCAAGCCACGCAATACTTGACCGTTTTATGTTTTGAACTCTGGCCAAGGTCGTAAATTTTGACACGCGACGTGATGTAACTAAAATGATATTCTAAAACGTTCAATGGTACTTAATCTTTTTATGAAAAATGCCGTACATATGTTATATTATCTTGGTTGAGAAAGAATGTGACGGTCAAAGATATGATTCCTTAGTTCGTGACCGAATATTCTAATAACAACCAAATCTAACTTCCTAAAAAACATAATACATAAATGTTCTGAGAATATATCCAGTGACTTAACAATTTCTAAAAATAATATCCATTTCAAGATGTTTTCACTTCACAAGAACCTTTACAAACAAATACAAATAATTCGAGCATGATTTTCATGTTTATTTCTGTTGAATGGCTACGAGATTTGCTACGGCGTAGCGTACGTAGCACTCGCTACGTGAGCAAA